TTTTTTTTTTTGTGACCATTAAGCGTACGTTGCCGATTTGCGGTGAAACATCAGTGCACACAGTCCAATATCGTGGAATTTGCGCACTTAGCAAAGCTGCTTTTGCGCTTCCCTTGGAACGACGACCAAGTACTAATGTGAGAACAAAATACGAAAAGTTTGGTCCTTAGGTAAACGTAGAATATATCACTGTCTTTCAGTACCCCATACCAGCAACCGCCGACGCGCAAGGACGAAGCCACGCGCGTACCATCAATATCTTGCTTATGCTTCGTGCGTGGATTAGCTTCTGTGGTTGACAGACGAGCTGTTTAAATTCATTTATGTGGACCCCACGAGTCACTTAATGATAGGAAGACAAAACACCAGCATCAAAGGAATCAAAAAAATGAAAAGCATTATAAATCGCAAAAGCCTCACATTTGCCGTTCATAAACTTTATGAAAAACGCTATCTGCCTACCGTGCGATGCTGTTCTCCGCTAGGCGAGGAATGCTATTAAATGTCGCAAACAAAGGCCAAGACGACGCAGACCGCTGAGCAGACTTAAACGAAGCGACATCCGACCTATTGATATCCGAGCCTTCCGATGTGTTGACTCTCTTCTTTCTTTCTCTGCGCAATCATTTCCATATCGCTAATTTCATTCGTTACTCAATTCTTGATATCAAATTGCACGACTGCAACAATGCAGCTACGCTGTCGACGATGGAGTCTTAGACGCTGCCATCAACTCTATTTTCCGCCACTTTTCCTGTTCTTTGTTCTTCATATCAGCCATGGTTTGTTCTTTCAGCGAGTACTCTTTGGCACACTGGTCGTAAAGAGCCATGTCGTAATCCATGTACAGCTTCAACACATTCTATTGAACAAAATATGAGCGATGAGATCAATACACTTCGGCATCTAGAAACAGCAGGAACAAACCTGAGCGAGTCCTTCGACAGTCGTATTCCAATGTCCCAGAGAGTTTCTATGCAGCGGACCGTAAATAACACGCAAAATTAAATGCGCATGTTGTTTACTCAAGCATCCATTGTTCACCAAATGTTCATTGTTCCATAGAAATAGCGACCGTTCTGAAACTTGGAAGTGCTGACTGCCTAGCCACTTGGCCAAGCCATTAAAAAGTGGCTTGTGTACTTGTTGCAATTGTTCCGTGCCCATTAGTTCAAGAATTTCTTCCAATTCATTCAGAAATATCACCTGCTTTGACGAGCATGACCATGGCCAAAACTTGATAATGCCTTTGATAATTGGCACAGCAGTCTCAGGATCCTTTTCAACATATTGCGTGATACAGTACGAGAGTTGCTGGTGGTACATAGACACACATTTGGGTTTGTGCAATGGAACTAGTGCACGGATCAAAAACTGCAGATGTTCTGCTTTCAGTGGCATAGCAAAACCATTTATGATACTTCCAAGAATCTCCAATAGTTCACCAATGCCATTGTGCCTCTCCGTCTCGTATACAAATCGATAGAAAACATTGCTGATGGCTTTGCGAATGAATGATCGGTGCGACATAAACTTGCCATATATGCGATGTAAGATTGTCTTGAGGTAATCTCGTTCACGTGGGTCCTCGCTATCAAAAAGGTCGATGACAGCCAAGCAAAACTTTTGATCCACGTACTTTTTGGCAACCTTAGCATTCACTTCGCCCGACACAATGAAGCGCAGGAAAAACTCATATACCACTTGAAGATGTGGCCACGAAGCTTCAAGCACGGGTTCGTCTTCTTCTGGATCAAAATCTTCTGTTTGTGGAGGTAATGCACGACAGATATTAACCGAAACCATGGCCATGATATCTGGCATGAGCGTTTCTGTAAAAATCTTTTGACCACCGGGGTTGTTAACGTAATCTACAAGTTCCAGCAGCGTTTGGCGTTTAAGATCTTTGCTCCTAAATATACATGCCACAAATGACCATCGTCACTTTTGAACGCAGTCTTAGTCAGTAAAGAGACCACTTACCGTTTGTCCGACGTCGGGTCGTCAAAATTAAAAATGACAGAGCAGAGCTCGAGTTTTTGTTGGAACAGCGCCTCTCGTCGCTGCAAAGACGTATCTTTAAGATGTGGCAGGTCTTTAAGTGCCTGAATCTTTTGGTTGCGCGCCATGACAGAGCGACGACGCTCTCTTTTAGGTAGCGACACGTCCGAACGTGCGACATCCCCTACAGGCGAGACAACGCCAACTCCATTTGTGCCCTTGGGAACTCCATCGATGTCCATTCGATCGGGCGAATGGGCACCGATGTGCTCTCCGTTGTTGCTCAGCTTTCGTTTAACCGTTTGCAACATTCCCTTCATTGCGTAGTTTCCCCGCCAGTGTAGTTGTATGGGTGGGGCTCAGTCACCCAGCAGACTCAAGCACAATCAGATTAAAAGTTTTTACCACAGACCTGTGATGTTGCAACATACAATCAGTGAGACTATGCTACAATCGACGTGTAGCTATTGCCAGTATGCGTCGCGGTCAATCCACTTTTTTATGTCTAACAGCGAAGGAGAGGAAACGAGTCCACTCGACTGGGCTCAAATGCTGACGGGCACAAACACGTACGCTAGTAAGTAAATGCGTACTTAAGTCGTATCCGGCGTGGAGACTTCTCTGCAACTGTGTGATTTAAGCCGTCCGCTCGTTCCCCTTACGGTCTCTCAGTCGCGTTTTCTTCCTTCCTTATCCTCCCCCCTCCACGTACATAATATTTACATTTCTAGTCGCTCCCCGTCTATTACGATTGCATAGCTTGATGCGAAAACACATGGTGGCCATCATTGACTACCACTTGACACATGGAACGCGAGCTGACGCGGCGCTGTCGGCACATTGTGCGCATAGCTGAATTTGTGAATGTAAAAACCACAAACACGATACGGACTGGATATGATGCACGAGTTAGTCTCGGTCACACGATACCGCTTTTTGCGGGCAATGTCGAAGTTTTGTATGCACGCAGTGTTTGGTTGGCAGTGCGCATCGACATTTGGTCGAGCAACGACAGTTGTTATTGCCAAGGTGAGATTGATAATCGACATGTATCATGATAGATGCGCTTAATGTACATTTCTAAATGGAAGTGTTAATCACATTGTGCAGTCAAGGCTCTGAGTGTCTACTTGCAACACAACAAAGATCAAAGGAAGGTTGCGGTGACTAATGGTAGTGCTCTGAATGCAATGCAAGAGGCTCAAAAACTCGCATTGAGTGCGAAAAATTGGGATGAAGGAGCGGCATTGACGAGCGAGGAGCTATTAAATGTACTGGATGATGTTGTCAAGCAAGTTATTCTTGCGTTCCAGGAACAGCAAGTGCAGGTGCAAGACAAACATCGATTGAAAAGTGATGAGCAATTTTTATAATATAACGTTTTGTATATATGTCTTTGTTGATCAGGAGCTAAAGGCTGCAGCTTCTCAACGGGCGAAATTTGAGTTTGAGATGCTGCAGCATTCTTCTGATTTGGAAATATTGATGCTAAACTGCGGAGAGTCGGGTTTAGTAGTCTTAATTGCGTTGCCACTAATGGAAGAAAAAAACCAGTGGAATCCAAAGGTGTTAATTGAGACAGAGGAAGAAGTTGACTTGGTGTATATTCCAGATGGGTTCGGCTCACCGAACTTTTCGGATGCAACCGAAAATGGGGTGTTTTTGATCGGATATCCGATTAGAGACGAAGTTAAATTTGAAGGTGCCTGGCCTTTTCTAGTCGAGTGGCCGGAAAGAATGATCTTGTCGAGCCAAGTGACGCATATTCCGACGTCGAGTAAAGCGCAGTCTTCTATTGAACTCATCACATCGTGCCGAGAGGTAGAATCTTGCTGTTATTTAGATGTTTTCGCTGAAGGTTATGTACAAGTGCATACATAGATGTTTTTACACCAGTGGACAAGACGCAAAGAGTTTATTGCCGAACTACGTCGCCATGTCATTGGTGAGAAGGCATGTGGCATCAGAAATTATAACAGCTAACATTGTTCTCCCCAGTATTAGAGTACGATGCCTTAGACTTTGCACGAGTATTTTTCGTGCTGCAAGAGCAGCTCAACGAGCAAGCACCACTGCGTATAATTGTTTTGAAGCTCCACTTTCCTGCAAAGTATTTTTCTACAAATTGCATGAGCGACTTGCAGTTGACATTACTCGATGGAAACGCCAGTGCAGAACCCGTTACGATTGCGCTAAGTGCATCCAGCATTACTTCCGATTTCGATCCAGCATTGGAAAGCAAAGCATGTGTTTTTCAGTTTCTTGAATATGTACGGCAAAGTTTGCTCTACAAATTTTACGAAGACTGAGATCGTTCGGCAAAATTATAAAAATACACGTTTTTTTACTCAGACCGAATTTATGCACTTCGGATACATCAATTCAATGTGCACCGAACATGCTGCCACCGCGTACGGGGTTACACGTACCCTGGTAACAGGGGTGTGTGTCACACGAGACGTGCCACTGGTGACTGCGCCCAAACAAGAATACGGTATGTGGCTGGCAAGGTAGCCAGTAGTCGTGCATGTATAGATTTACTATATATATTAAGAAAAATCTATATATTTAAAATTAGGCGGTTTAGCTGCAGATAAAAATAAATCAAAATTAGTCTTAAATTTAAACGGAAGAGTTTATTAGCCTTGATTAAGGTGGTAACTACTCTTGGGGTTAGCGGATTGCGATCCGCTACACTCGTATTGGTTCTTGTAAAGAACGAAGA